TTCTTTGAAGAAAACACTGATAACCAAGATTAGCTCCTGCAAAACACAGACTCATTTAAATTTTTTGTCTTTAAAGTAAAGATGCTGTAACTAAGCAACCTGGCTCTTCCTTAAACTGAAAGCTGGTTTTCATAGCACCTTGTTTATCACTGAGAATTCTAACAAACCTCCACTTTATTTTATGTAACAGTGTCTGGGGGAGTGCCAGATTAGATCTGGTTTACTGTCATAAGGGGACTTTTCCTATGAACACAGATGATGCAAAAGTTATTTTTAAAATAGCATCCAAAATGGTTTTTTGTGTCTACTGCATTCTCTTCAAATACCCTCAGCTGTTGGAAAGAACAGATACATACACCTGTCTGTTTCTGAATCCAAGAAGTGCTGGCTATGTTTTCTTTTACCTGCATACTGAAATTAGTCACTGCCCTTTCTGCCTTAACTTCCTCCTTCAGTCCAGGATTTGATACAGCATTTAGTATTTGTTTTATACCACCAATGATGTTGTTTTAAGACAAAATATATCCTGACATGCTCTCGGCTCTGGTTGGGTACTGTTCCTATCCTTTTTTGAATGCAATCTGTAGCTCCAAGAATAATTATTATTACCAAATTAGAAGCTAACTATAGTTCACAAACCCATTCACTCAGACTGAATCACCAAACAGCTTTGATTTCAAATTCTCATTCTAACTGCACTTTTCCTAAAGGATAGGACAGAAAATACAGGCAAATAATAAGCAAAATCAATGACATTGAGTATGACCCAGTGGGTTATGACTTCAAAGGCTAATCTCTTGCCAGAGTTCCCCTCCCACAAACTGTGCACATTAATAGCCTTTTCCCAGTCTGACAAGGACACTGAAAAGCATTTGCTTGAAAAACCTGGAAAGCAGTGGGTTCCCCCAGCCCCCCTCCCAATTCAGTCCCCATTACAATTCTATTTTTAACCAGCCCCTGCCTTCCCCTTGCTCAGCTGCTTGTAACCTTGCATACAGTACAATAAAATATGATGGACCCAAAAGTTTTGCTAAACAATGAAAAAAAATATTTTGGCTGCACTGCTAATTTGTTTTTCTTTTTGAATTGGTTTTGTGTTTGTGCACAGTAAACAAACACACAGGAAGCCTATGCATCCTTCTACAAACACAGATATGCAGCCACTGTATGCAGACAGCAATGCAGCTTTCTTGTTTACTCTGCTTCCCTCATTTCCTCTAGATATTTTTGCACGCTGTCATTTGTGGAATACTGTTAAAACCTGAGCCTGCCTCACACTGCAAGCTGTTGCAAGGCTCATTAAGGCCAGGGGAACATTGTGGAGTCTGCTGCCACTGCTCACAGACTGACTCTGCTGGCTGGAAGGATCCGGCCGAGCTCAAGGGGCCACACCAGCTGATTTCTTCAGATGCTCCTCAGCCCTGACAATATTGCTGGTGGCTCCACAAGGACTCTAAAGTTGTTACTAAAGTGCCAGCAGCTGCTGTCAGCATTTATGGAGAAGAAATCCAATATAGTAAAAGTCTTCAAGGGTTTCAAACAGGGTAAAAGTGCATGTTTTCTTACTCCCATAACCAGCCTTGACTGCATTGTACAGCACTGCCTGTACAATGAAATCACTTTACAGTTGTTATTGGGTAACTACACTTTTTCTGTTTGTTATTTTCAGACTTGTCTGCATGATTTTATGATCTACCCAACTTAATTATTTCTAACTCTGTAGATATTACCTGTCATATTTGTTGCTGCCCCAGAGAATCCAAATATCTTGGCAAAAGCTGTTGCCTATTTGAGAGTCAAGGTAGAAGGCAGGAAGCAGAATGTAGTTCTCACAAAAATAACACTTGGCCATCAGCCTCTTTTTGGCTGATCCAGTTATTAAAAGAAAGGAGAAAAACGTAACAACTGAAATAGACTTTAGCCATGGCTGCAATTTGGCTTTCCTGTGTTAGGTATCACCTAACTTCCCGTTCAGTTAAGTTGAGCCATGTCCAGTTACCCTGTGGTTAGAGGAGGGCAAAATCAGGGACGTATGTGCACTGTCCACAAAAGAGAACAAATCAAGGAAAAAGTCCACCACATATTAGGAATTTAGGCAGTCAATTTAAAAATGGGGAATCCAAAGTTCTTAGTGCTTGTTTCTGTTTTTTGTACTCAAAGGCACCAAACATAAAGCAAGATATTTAAGATCCACCAATCATAAGGAACACCTAAATCTAAAGACAGATGAAGTTTAAGGAAGATTAGTACATCTTCGCATTTTGCATATTTGAGCATAATATTCCTAAATCACTCAACCTGACACTATTTTTTTCCAAGCAAGGACTAGCACTACAACTATTCCATCACAAGCAGGTTGTTCCTGATGACCTTCCAAAGACAAATCCCAGTGCCACAGTTAGCATCATCTCCTAATACCTGCTGTGCCTGCCTAGGTGAAGGCAATACAGTACTTTCAACAACAGTCTCTATTTTCTGGAAGAAGTTGGATCCCATCCATGCCTTTCCTTTTTTCTGTCTAGCACATACAGACCACTGGCTTACCATATGTCTCCATGCACCTCCATCTCCCTCATTTCCACTGATTTTTATTTAGAAAATAAACACTTCAGAACAGCACAGAAAGTAGATTTTGTCTGCCATGTGTCTAATGGATTTTAGCCACTATAAAAGCATTTTGATTAATCCATAACTTTGGTCTTTTCCTCTCATTCTTGCATAAAGTCACTCTATTTTCATAGCATTAGGGAAGAAGGGAGCTGTATTTTCAAAAATTTTAAATATTCTGAAATACTGAGCTTTATGCCTTTGGTTTAATGGTATTGGTGGACTGTGCACCAGGTATGGGCTATGCAGTAAACAAAGAGGGTCTAAGTAGAGCAGAACTGGAAATCCAGATATCTCCATTCTCTTCCTACTCTGCTGGAGACAACTTTGTAAATGGGGGCAGAGCATTGAATCATCAGCAGGTATTTGTTTAACTTCTCCTAGGTAGATAAAAGAGAGCACAGGGAATATGATTTCATTAACATTTATAAGAAAAACTGTGTGGAAAATATTGTTGCACAGCTATGTAAATTACACTTATTCCACACAGTGGGTTCCAATGAAACAAGTATGGAAAGCAGCCCATGGGACCTTCTCCTGGGTTCAGCTGTGGTAGTTTCTGCTCAGTAGCTGGTACAGTGCTGTGATTTGGATTCTCTGTGAGGTTGATGTTGATAGCAACAACCAAAGCACCAGTGTGCTAAGCAATGCTTACATTAAGTCAAAGGCTTTCCAGTCTCCCATGCTCTGCCAGTGAGGAAGTGCACAAGAAGCAAGCAGAGCCAGGACAGCTGACCTGAGTTGGCCAAAGAGATATCCCACACTGTGGAACACCATGCCCAATACATAAGCTGGGAAGAGTTGGGCAGGAAGGGTCACTTTCAGCTGGAGGACAGGACAGGCATGTGCATCACTGGTTGTTCTTGGGTTTAACATTCCATTTTTTCCCCCCTATCATTTTAGTAATAGTATATTTTATTATCATTATTACCATATTGCACTTTATTTCCATTATTAAACTGTTCTTATCTCAACCCACCAGTTTTGTCTTTTTTCCCCCAATTTTCCTCCTCAACCCACCAGTTTTGTTGTTTTTTCCCCCAGTTCTCCTCCCCATGGCAGTGGGGGCAGGGGAAATGAATGAATGACTGCATGGTACTTAGCTGCCAACTGGAGCTAAACCACAAGAGACCTAGGATTGGATTTTTTTCCTTTTATTCTTGGTTGCAGAGATGCAGTTTACAATCCTACCCTTCTGCTAACATATTTTGCTCTTAAGACATTAGGAGGAGCGCTTGCCAAAGTATATTATCACACTTGGGATAACTAGAATGGATTAAAAAACAAGGTTTATCAGATCACACGGGAAACAATATTTTCTTCTAGGAAGAAACATGAGCTATTTAAAAAGCATTCCCTTCAATTCAGAAGTCAAAAAGTACTTGGCAGAGAAATACATTTTTTCACTTGCAGAGATATTTAGTCTTAAATCAGTCTTTATCAAAGGCTTGATTTTGCATTTCAAGTTTATTTCATTTAAAAAATCAAAGAAAAATACAAAAATATGTTTACAAAAATTCTGAGTTCTTGCTCAAAAATGTTAGCAGCTGAATTCATCAAAACCAACTGTTTTTCTATAAATTTAGACTTGCCTTTGATAAATTGGCATTTTACAGAAAATTAGGCAAACATCGCCTGACTTCTGGTAGACAAATGTTAATTTCCCCTACACTTTAATTATCCTTTCCAAAAGTACAGAAGTGCACAAGGCACCTACTCTCACAGAAAAAAACCAAAGGGTGCCTTTGTAATCACCTTTATACAAGAGAATTAAAAGAAAAATCAAAATGTATTTTGTTAAAAAGTTTCATTGAATACATATGACAGGCCAAGCCGAATGAGCTATGATTTGCTGACAGATGGAATCAGACACAGACCTTCAGAAGAAAGGGGAAGCAGGAAGGAGCTGAGCACAAACATTTTAGTCAGCTCTGTCAAAATGTTGGCATTCCTACTAAGAAGGAATTACAGTATCGAATTCTGCAATTCTGTATCATTCTATCAAATGACCATGTTTTTCTGAATAATTACCATTAGCATTTCAGCTACTTCTACTACATTTCGCAAAGTTGTCCAAGCAAAAGTGACAGTAACATTAAAATCCTATTTTGATTTTGAGCACAAAATAATTATTTGACTTGCAAAGCAGAACCTCAAATTATTTCATTAGTAATCTTTTTCCCTGTAACTGTTATCACAATAATTTTGTTTGTTTTAACAGCAGTAATTCTGAAATGCAGGCACTCATGAAACTCATGCATTCCATAATACCTCACACAGAAAGATTCCTTCAGCCTTACAAACCACATTCAGAGTCTATAAAATAAATAACATTTATAGTACAGAACACTGCTCAGTGTTACTGAAGTGAGGTCCCTTAGGGACAGACATACCTCAGAATTGTTGAGATGACACCTGTGTGTCCCTGAGAACCATCCCTCATTCGAGCACTGGTCAATGTCCACCTTCTGCAGATTGATGTCGACTTTGACAACACCTCTGAAAACAGAGAGGAAATAGCCTTGAACACAACTACAGACATAGGTTAAGCATTTCTATGATGCTGTAGCCTGAAAAGCAGAACTACATCTTCTAAATATGGAATTTGATAAAATGTCTAAAACCAGAAAAATTTTGTGCTTCCAGAGCCATGGTCACAGAAACATTTTTAGATTTTACTGAGATGTACTATGGGCAAGAGCTCAGTAAATCTAACGTATTAAGACCAGGGTGGCAGTAAAGAACAAGTTATATGTTCAAACAATGTAATGCCCTTCACATTTTACTGTGCAGCAAAGACCCAAAATAAATACAGTGAAAGACCTGCACTATTTTTTGCCAGCAACCTTCCCAGCCAGTTCTGATGCACCTCACCCTATATCGAGCAAAAACTACTTTCTCTCCTTTGCTCCATGGAACCCCATTTGCCAAAACAACTGGAAAAAGCCTTTTTTTGTACTCTCCCTAGAGACAACCCAGCCTCCAGAGACATTCAGGCCTCTTCTCTGCAGTTCAACATTCTCCTCCAGCAAGCATCCAAAGCCCTCTCTCCACACCTCTGCCAGCCTGCCCTGCAATAAACCCGATACAACATCAGAAAACTGCACAAGCCAGTGCAGGTCTGTGAAGACCACTGAAATCCGTGAAGCCAAAAATAAAAAAAAAGGCTCCTACATACAGATGTCCCAGAGGACCATCTGAATTGTCTAAGTCCTATACCAAGAAGTCTCTAGGTTTCATCATCAACAGTTTACCTCAAAAATTCTTTTGAAAGAAAAGTTAACAAGCCAGTTTCAAAGCTGACACTATTGTATAAAAAACTTGGAAATCATTAGAATAAAAAAGGTACAAGACTGTAGTTCTATAGCTTAAAAAAAATGCCTTCAAATATTTACATATTCTTTAGAATTACCTAGGACATTTATAGCATCATTTTGTCACAGTATGTCATCTATGACTGCTTTGCTGTGGTCCAGACTTGACAAAAATGTCAATATGCAACTTCTAGTTGATAAATCACTACACAAACTCATTCATAGTGGATGAAGGCTCTGTGCTAATTTCTTAAATCTAGAATACCATTCCTTTCAAGTCAATCATTCCAGCCACTTGGGACAGATGTTTTCATTTCCCCAACTACAAACACCATCATCTCCCCTCTTTCAGGCTGTGAACTAACAAGGGCATGGCCCAGCCTCTATCTCAGAAGCACCTCATTCACCTCAAAGTGTGCTCCCTCTTTTAATTAATGCTCATAACACAATAATATTAACAAGATAGCTACAGAGCCATATATTTGAGAGGATATGTACAAGTAAAATCAGAACATAAGAGTGAGTGTGATCAAAACCAGGACAATACTGTTCCCTCATATCTGACCCCAGTACAGCAAGAGTCCACAGCAAGAGCTAAATTTGGACATTCATCTTCATGCTATACAGTAAATGATAAAACACAACTACATCATATAAGTGGTCAGAAGAATGCATGAGAAAATTACATAAAACAGACAGTGAGAAGTTAGACAGTACAGGAGCACTCAATCCCACTCAGTCTCCTGACTAGAATCTAAACAATCTAATGCTGGGCACATTTAGAAATTACTTGAAATATTTAAGTGCTGGTTCTAGCAAGTTAAAATGGCACACACCACACCTCTGGAATATTCTGATATATTTTTAGTTTTTGCCTTTGTACACTTGTTTTGAACAGCAGTTTCACCAGGGACTGCTCAAACCATGTTTCTACCCCAAGGAACATTTTCTCCATGTTCCAGCTGAGCAATAACCTCAAGAGGAAAAACTGACATACTGCACAGATTATTTCTTTAAAATGCTGATGTCAGTGGATTGCAAATTTAACCTGGCAAGACGGTGCCTGATTCAGATGCCCATAGCAGTAGAGATAACAGATCACACATCCAGTCATGTGTAGATCCCACCAGGTAGATTTCTAATATTTTCTGGACCTTTATGAGCTAATACAAATATTAGTTTGTGGGCTGAGGACAGGACCTGTTCTGCAAATGAGTACTCTCTCCATGGCTGCATACAGGCACAAAGCAGGCAGCAGGACCAAGACCAACACTACTCCTTGCTCTCCTAATTCATGTTATATACCAGTCACATTGGCAAAGCTATCAGATTAGCATCATCCTGATTACTCCAAAGAAATCAGTTTATGCAGCAGGAAAAGCAGTGATGATTCAACTTTAATAGAAACGCAACCCATTCACCTGAAGGACCTGATGGAAGGAGGTTTTCTTTCCTTTACTTTTGTTTTTAACTAGTAAGAGAGGAAACTCACCTTTCTCTCCTCAAACATTTCTGCAAAGAGAAGTAGAGACTTCAAATAAAGGACAAACTAATCACTGCCAAGAGAAGAAACACCTTTAAGAGTTTGCTGTGTGTTATCATGAGCAAGTCCTGTAGAAGCAGAGTGCCAGTAAAAAAAGGATCTAAATATTTTCCAAAGAAAACTAGAGGTTTCTTGTGAGAAAGTCAACACACACAAGCCAGAGAAATTAGGGTTATTAAGTACACTGAGAAGGCATTTGAGTATGGCCTTGTACCAGAAGTGCAACAATTTGGAGAATTCATGACATGTTCCAATAGGACAAGCATCAGAAAACAGGAGAGCATCCAAACACTCAGAGCCATGCACTGGAAAGAAAGGAATATACTTCTGGACTTCTCACATCAGAACTGATTAAAGAACTTGCATCCTTTGAAAGCTCTTTAATACAATTACTTTGTTAAAAATAGATGTGAAAATCTGATTCATACAGCAACTATCATTGGAAGAAGCCTCTTGTGATCAATCCAATCAGCTCAAAGCAGTCTCTTAAGTTGGGGGTTTTTAATACCTTCAATAATGGAGACTTCGCCATCTCTGGGAAATCCAATCTAGTGACTGACCAAACTCAGTGTCCAAAAATAAGGTCTCTGATGTTTAAATGAAATTTCTTGTATTTCAATTTTTTGCCTCTTGAGCTTTCCACCCTTTCATTGAATAAGGCTGAGAATGGTCTGTCTGTCTCTCCTTTACCCTTTTTCACTGGGTACTTACACCTAAAATGCCCCTGAAGCCTTTTCTTCTCCAGGCTGAACAGTACCAGCTCACTCAGTCCTTCTTGCATGTCAGAAGCTCCAACCTTTAATTATCTGTGTGACCTTGTACTAGGTTTGCTTCAGCACATCCTTATCTCCTGTGCTGAAGAGCCCAGAAGTGGACATAGCGCTCTTGATGGGGTCCCACCAGGCTGGGTGAAGAGGAAGGATCACTTCCCTCAACCCACTGGCAAAACTTCCTCTCACCAACCAGGAGGCTGTTGGCTTTCTTTGCCACAAGCACACATTGGTGATTCACGTCAAACTAGTGCCAACCAGGAGCATATAAAAAGTGACTGACCTCCAATTGGTCACCAGGTATCTACACAGAGAAGGCTGCTGAGTTAGTTAAATGCCATTTTCCTCTGAGAAATCCATGCTGACTACTCCCAATCACATACCTCCTCTTCATGTGTTCCAGAAGAGGTTTTCACAATGATTTGCTCCATCATCTTCCCAGGGACTGATGTGAGACTGATCAGCCTGTAATTCTTAGACTTCTCAACATCTTTTGTCACAAAGTACGCTTTTCCATTCAGCAGCAAAGACTTGAAGAGACTTTGAAGGCCATTGAGTCCCAGCCATTAACCAAGCACTGCCAAAGTCACCACTAAACTGTGTCCCTAAATGCCACATCTTCTAAATACCTCCAGGGATGGTTACTCAGCCCTGGCAGCCTGTTCTGATGTGTGACAATCCTTTCAGTGAAGCGAGTTTTCCTGATATCCAATGAAAAACTTCTCTGCCGCAACTTGAAGATATTTCCTCTTGTCCTGTCACGTGGGAGAAGAGACCAAACCCTACCTCACCCCAACCTCCTTTCAGGCAGTTGTAGAGAGCAGTAAAGTCTCCCCTGAGCCTCCTCTTCTCTGTACTAAGCTCCCTCAGCTGTTTCTCACAGAATTTGTGCTCCAAACCCTTCACCAGCTCCACTGCCCTTCTCTGGACTTGCTCCAGCCCTTTTGATATCTTTCCTAAAGTGAGGGGTCCAAAACTGAACATGAGATTTGAGGTACAACCTCACCAGTGATGAGTACAGGGCAATGATCACTTCCTTGGTCCTGCTGGGCACACTATTGCTGATACAAGATACTCATGATCACAGTCAAGCTCAGAGTCTCCACATTCTTCCCAGGTTATCTGGCCCCACTTCCACCCGCATTTTCAATTTATGCTTAAATTATGTCAGGATCACATTTAAGTCATCCAAGATCAAAAATATTTTCATAATACTTCTTCCAGAAATACTACAAAAATCCTTCATTTCAAACTAAACACACGTTCCTCTTACTTCTCTTGTACTAAAGCTCTTCTTACAAGAATGCTTGTCTTTCAGAAAACCCAATCTTCATGAATTCAATACAAACTTTTTTACCTACACTTTTCTCCCATCTGCAGCTCTTCTGTAGCACAATCTGAACTTCTGATGTCGCTAAGTTGTTCTGGCTTTCCCTTTTCTCAGAGCTTTGTGAGTTTTGGGGTGAAAAGCTACAGCAAGAAGAAACAGGACAGTGCAGAAACAGGAAAGCAATCTCTCCTGACAGATACAAGCTGCCACAGGATTTCAACTGGTTCCCCCCATGGTGCATATTATTCTTTTTTCACTAGACCTGTGAAATACGTGTTTCATAGCAACATCACAGTTCTGAAGTAGTTCCAGGGTCTGAAACTACCTGAGGACACAGCACTGTCAAAAGCAAAGTTTCTTTGAGCATATATGTGGCAAAGGTATCATGATGGTACAAGACTTCTACTGTGTTCATTTGAGATCCATTTTAAAACCCCATCTCAGACTTGCACCCCACTGCTATTACACAGAGCACACTAATATGATATATTTCTGAAATTCATCTGTGATTAATACAGTAGCTGGCACAGCCTGTTTAGCCA